GTGGAGTGAACACAGGAGGTTGACGGCATGTTCGCTGCGCGTGCATAGCACAGCCCCCATCGGCTTTGGTGAACGCAATGTAAACATGTCAGACGTGTTCTGGGCTTTGGTTTTTTTGCCATTCGGATGTTGTCCAACCTAGCGCTCGAGTTGCTTTACAATACCGCTTGTTTTAGGTTGATTCACACGCAATCCACTCTTGTACCGAGCCAGGCACTCGAGACTCTTTGCATTCGAAACTTTCGGGAGCACGTCAAAGTCACCCATTTTGAATTATGGCAGACTTGTGTTGAGGTTCATGCACTGCGTCAATACCACGATGTAGGGAACAGCGCACATTGCGTTGGCGGTCGGATGGACGAGCTTCTTCCAACACGCGAGAGCATACAACGGTCTCGCAAAAAACTTCTCTATCTGCTGAGGTTTATTAGGGGTTTTTTTTATCTTTAAATCCGCCTCACATTGTAGTTACACAAGTTTTTGGCGCGTCCCCAACTACTGCCACCACTACTTCAGTTTCGCTAGCACGCTAAAGCATTGCTGAACGGAGGGGTGTGTTCTGCAGCACAGGGTGTACTCAAGAGGATAGATAAGCATTTATTATTCTCTTTGTTAGAGTCACGCATCCAGAGGGGATGGCTTGCGTGATGCAACACATAGATACAACACAATGACACGTTATCAACTTCCTCATTAAACTACAAACAAACCACACAACGAAATCAGAAATACTCAATCCAATCTCCATAATTGTTGTACCCACTATTCCTTTTTTGTAAACATTATTCTTCCACAGTGAGCACAAATGGTTACCTAAGATAAAGATGGCGATTAACTATGATCCTGTTATTGATATTTAAAATAGAGAAATGCTCTAAATGATATTAGTAAAGGGCGAATAGAACATTTTATCCTCTTGAGTACCAGATAGTAGAGTGAAGTAACGACTTAAACTAAAACAACTAGCTATGCAGTTTTATGTATGCGCTATTGTAGTTAAAGCAATGCCTGGCCTTTGTTATATGTAATCAGTTTGTTGTATGTGTACAGAGAGTCTATAATGATGTTTGTGTTTGGTTCAGGTATTATAGTGAACGCTTGGGGAAGGTGGAAGGAGGCTAGCCGGGCTTAGTAACATCTATGTTTGTTGGGAGCAGTTCTGATTGTACAGTCTGACAGCTGCAGGGAGGAAGGACCTGCGGAAACGCTCCTTCATGCATCTAGGATGCAGCAGTCTGTCACTGAAGGAGCTCTGCAGTTCAGCAACATTTACATGCATGGGGTGGGAGACTCTGTCCATCAGAGATGTTATTTTGGCCAGAGTCCTTCTGTCTCCCACCACCTGCACTGGGTCCAGGGTGCATCCCAGAACAGAGCTGGCCTTCCTGATGAGTTTATCCAACCTCTTCCTCTCAGCTGCCGATAAACTGCTGCTCCAACATACCACACTGTAAAAAATGACAGATGCCACCACAGAGTCATAGAATTAATTGTCCCTTTATAACAATTGAAATGTCTGATTAACAAAGACTACTGAGAAATACAATTAAGTGCAATATTACTTCCAAAAAAAACGGGCCATAAGAGTGTGCATGCACTGTTCACTTCAATGTTCTCCGTGTTATCACAAGAGCATCCAAAAGATCGGTCTGTGGTACCAGTCTAATTTAAAATAATATTCAAAAGTGCTGAATAACACCCACTCAGGTAGCCTGTTAAATTTATGTGTTTTTTTTATTTCGAATCCACTTATTCCCATTCAAACTGAGTTCCTCGCTTTGGTGATTTGTGTCGAGAGCTGTGTGGTTTACTACGGTGTATAGATTTTGTGAGTGTTGCGAGGTGTTGTCGCGTCTCAGTGCTATCTGTGTTCTAAAAAGTTTCTAGAGCATCATTAATACGTAAATTATCAATGGGATTTAGCTGCAAATTTAGGGAGGTTAAGGTGGATTTGTACAGATGGTGCAGTTGTCTAATGTGGTTATGTGATCTGTTTTCAGACACGCACGCTCAAAAAAATGCGAATGAACTTCAGAAACAGTGTAGTGAATGAATGGTGGAACCATGGTGATAACTTGGTCCTTCATGGATGCCGTTGCTCCTGCCCATAATTAAATGAGTTTTAATTAACTTCTCAGGAACCTTCTGTAGCTTATTTAGATATCATATTACAATGTCAAGCCGGACCAAATAATCCCATAGAAGAATGTAAGCTTTTCTATAGGATTGTAGAAACTACGTTCATTTACAAAACTAAAAACGTGAAACCTGTAAACACATGAAAATTAAAAGCTGTGTACTTAATATCTTTTATATTGAGATTAAAAAGTAAGTTTCTATGTTTACTTTTTAATGTGATGCGTTTAACGGGGGCCCCCTCATTTCTGGCGCGAAGAGGGCGATAACCAAAGAACTGAGAGTAGGGCTGGGCCATATTATACCGTTCACGGTAATACCGGTATAATGTTAGGCAACGATAGGAAAATGAAATATCGCGATAGAATATGAGTAAAACGCGCATGCGCAGTGCCTTTGTTTTCATACGCACATGGCCGATTGTTGAGTGAAACAAATGAACCAGAATTGGTTTGTAAAAATGGTGCAACTTCAGTGATGTGGAACTGGTTTGGTGTTTGTCCGTCAGATACACGACAAAGCACATTTTTTTGCAGAACATGCAAGCGGCCGTCGGACTAAGATGCTCTTAAATCTGGGAGTAATCTGGGTCCTAAACTCCGTATGCTTCAGGTCAAACAACACTGCAGCATCACTAAGAGTTAAAAACTGTCTAAATTCTTTCATCTTTAATAAAACGATCAGCATTGCTGCTTTACCAGGTGTAACTATAAAGTTTAACTTCCAGGCATCCATGAAAACAAAAGTTATTACATTTAACGGAGTTAGAAGTTAGCAGGAAGCTAGCGGAAGTTAGCTCGCTAGTTTCGCTAGTTACCTAAGCATGATATAGCATGTTCTGACTGAGAGATTTCTGAAAAAAATCAAACGTACAGCTCTGCTATCACTTCCAACATAAATGAAGACAGGAAACTAAACAGCAGTGACGTTTGTAGGGTTACTGAAGTTGGGCTAGCTGGTATATAATGATGTGCTACGTGATCGCTAGCGACACAGCTATGTTAGCATAACATAAACAGTGAAGCTAGAGGACGAACACTAACACTTTTCCACTTATAAAAGTTAACGTGAAGGTTCTTCATGGTTAGAGACAAATGCAATCGCATGGCAGGATGCTGTAAACGGACCAAACTTCAGTCAGGAGAACAACTGAGATAATCCATCCACAATATAGAGGTTAGTCATTAATATACTGCAACAACAGTAGCTGTGAGAGAATTCAACATTAATGAATCAATGGTACAGAAGTGGAGGAAGCAAGAAGAATGAGTAAAGTTTGGCTTATCTGCCTGTTTTGTTTCACTTAATGCGTCTTTATGAGCAGTGCCTTATAATCCCGTGCACCTTATGGTCCGAAAAATACGTACTGCAGTTTAATGTTGCAAAGCACCTCTTTTTAACTTCAGTGGATATTATACATGGTTATGCTCAGGATATGTCAGCCCATTTCTACTGGAAATGCCTTTTGGTTAAACTTTCAGCAAGGAATTTGCATTTGCACTGTTACATTTTTATAAAGCTTTAATGTACATAAAAACCAGCTTCTTGTTTAAGTGAAAATAAATGGAAGGTTGTCTTTTTGCGCTAGTAATGTTGTGGAGTTGTATTTTGTCTCCCATCAATTATATCGTCGGTTATATCGTTATCGCAAATTTTCCAGCTGAGCCGAGTCAATCCAGAAATGTGACGTCAAGAGTAGGGCTGGGCGATATGACCCAAAATTCATATCTCGATATTTTTTAGCTGGATGGCGATATAAGATATATATCTCGATTTTTTTTTTTTAAAGCCATAAGTTAAGAACAAAAAGAGAGTTCTTAGTCACACTGTGTCCCAGATGTCACACGGGCACTTTTATTTACATACAGCGTAGATGTACATGAAGAAATTACTCAAAAATAAATTATCAGCATTTATTAAATAATCATGGTCCATAAATAAAAGAAAACAATGTTGTTTTTGTGCATAACAAAAAGCTCACAATTGTGCAGTCAAAATGTAAACTAATAGACGCTGAGCGTAATAACAAAGAGACAGATTTCACAGCTGCACCACGTCTCTGAACAGGTGCCATTTGTGGTCCTTATACACACACAGTACGTATCACTCCGCGAGGCTCCTCCTCGGTAGCCGTAATCCTCCGACAATCCATCAAGCGGTGCAGCTCCGTAGCTTAGCAAAGTCATATTAAAACATTTTTTGACAGATTGCTGAGCGCTGTGTACCACATAAAATCGGTTCGCGGTCAGTAAGCACAACCAGAATTCATACATAAGGCGCACTGTCGATTTTTGAGAAAATGAAAGGATTTTAGGCCGTGCAGCCCCTCCTGGCTGCATGTCGTTAGCGCGGTTAGCTCGCTAACACGTTGACGTCCAGCCCCACGCACGGTAACTCGCTAACGGAGATTTTCCGCTTTCATCTTGTCATTGCCTGCAGGTGAAGCTATGGGGGAGGGGGAGTTGTGTTCAGTGAAGGAGAGGCGAGGCCGAGTAACGTTGCGTAGAGACAAAAGTGGACGAAAGAGAGGCAAACCTGCGGCTCCACAAGTATAATTATAACGTAACATA